GTAAGATTTTTTGGAAATGTCGGTTAAGTAGCTAAATGCAGCAAGCCATCCCTGTTGTGTAGGGTGAACAATGTCCCAATAGAAGGCTGACATGGGATCTTCGCATAGTTTAGAGCTTATGGTCCCTTKTTCAAATACAAACTTGTTACATGGCTCCAATGGTGTTGGAAACGTTATGTTACCTTCAGGGTATCCCTTGTTTTGGATWATGGAGGAGAAGGCAGCATGAAGATCGAGACTGGAGAAACAAGGATCATCAGTATTTGTTTCAATGTTCAATTTGGCGATTGCTTCTTGTAACAAATAGTTGTGGTAATCGGCCACGGARTTTACAATTGGAACRCATCGCTCRTAAGATAGAAACAAGGTCAACATCGGGACACATTCCAATGGTCCCAACGTTGTAACCACTACTTTCTTCACTCCCAAACTATGGATGCGTTTCAAGTCCTCTATGGTATTGTCCACCATCGACCGAATGAAGGGCTCCAAACCCTACAACATTCATGACAGACASATACATATCAAATTAGGAAGGATTAAGTCTCTTTAAACAACCATTTTGGTAACGTTCTTTTTCTTGTTTCTTAAAACACGTCTGGTAACTATGAAAACCAACCCCGTATTTAAATAGTCTTGGCAACGCCTACATATTGTGCCACAATTATATAAATAAAAAGAAAAAGAATCCAATGGAACATGGGATATTACAAGCTTGTTAAAAGTTGTGAGATTTGACTCACCCCTTTTTAAAGTATAAGAATATAAAAATAAAAATTTCCATTCGTTGTACATGCGAATTGAAAAAGTGAGTTTTAAAATTTTTTTAAAAAAAATTGCTTTTCCAACCTTTTTCTGCTATTTTTTTAAAGTTCATTAAAGTTAAGAAAGAGTTACCTGGACTAATCCCGCCAAATCAAAGAAATGATTAACAAGGTAAGTCATATAGTCATTGCCAGACACAGAGACAAGAGCTATAGAAGAGTCAATGTATTGTGGAGGAAGCRTAGAGTTATCAATAAGCCCTTGGAAGAAGTCGATTTGGTCATTCAAGTTTGGCACAGGAAATAGTGTCTTAAATACACCAGATCCACCAAASGCAAAGTTGACACCATCTATCTGCATTAGTACATTATGCAATTGCATATATGGGATGGGAGATTCAAGGCCTAGAAAGCTCGCTGCAAATCAAATATGTATTAGATAGTAATTAGCTAATTAAAATATATTTAATAATTAAAATAGTTAAATGGTTAGAAATCATTTAATTTTACCAAAGTAATCTGTGAGAACCCGACCATCAGAGGCACGCCCAGCAGGTTTGTCGGACCAGGTAATTCCATTCGGATACGTGCTTTCAAAATCAGTGCCTATAAAGTTGCCAGTGTCAACGTAGGAATCTCCAAACACGAATAATTTATTGAATATCCTAGAAGTCCGACGGAGAGAATAATGATGAGCTAATCCTGAAAGAAATAAAAACATGAAAATGTAAAGTAGCATTCTAAACRAAAACAAAAATCATATCGCACACACCTGCCATGAGGGAGACGATGAACTAGAGTGGGAGGAACAACTTTGTTGACTCCATTTGTGTTAGAGAAGTTAATTCTTGTGTGTGCTCTCAAGAGTCACCATGGTTGTGTTATTATATAGCAGTGTTAAAGATTTTAAAAATATTTATTGAAAATTTTAAAAGAATAGAGATATTTTTAAACTAAGCGAGACAAATACTGGTTATTTTATATATATATATATATAATTTAGTCTAATTTACCATGGTGCCCATGTGATACCTTCTTGACAAATGATACTCTAAGCATCTTTGCGTCTCTGGAAGATAATATATAAATGAGGAAACGCAGCCCATATAAAACACATGTTTCATTATTCCACATTTTCTTTATCCATTTGTCTAAAATGTCGACTAATTTATAATTAGGCTCTATATCCTTAATTAGGGGCGTTACTTTCTTCTTCGGAACCAAAAGAGACTAGGAATGTAAGGTTAAATCTAATCGATAATTATCAGTTAATTAACGATTCCTGTGGAGGAAACTAGGAATATAAGGTTAAATCTAATCGATTATTATCAGTTAATTAACAATTCCTATGGAGGCTCTTACCAAATAGAACAAGAAAATTGTTACAACAAGCGAGATAGAAAAATAGTTAAAGCCATACAAAAATTTCAAATCGCCACCAACACCCACATATTGTATGTTTGTTGGAATTAATTTAATAATTAATTCATATGTGGGTAACAAATTAAAGAGCAATTATATTTGGGCTATTTAATGTGCATACAAGTGATTTTAATTATGGGCCCATGACTTGCCATTTAGTGGTGTGACTTGCAGAGTAGAAACCAGTCCATTAATCCTAGGGGATTATGAGAAACCCTAGGATTAACCTATAAATATATGGTTATAGTCCCCAATACACTATGCTTCTTGAGCCTCCTGTTCTCCATCAAACAGAGAGTATTGCCTATATTTGGTCTGGGTTGCATAGTTGAGGAAGACTATAAACCACAACTTCTTGCCGATTGGTTTCAGGTAATTCTAATGATTTTGGTTTTCTTCCATGCTTAGATCATTGGCCTTGATTGTTCTATAATTTTATGGCTTTTATTTTAGAATAATCATGAATTAGGATTTGTTTAAAATTTCTAACAAGTGGTATCAGAGCAAGTTTTGCATGGATGATTACTGGATCTTTAAGAGTTAAGTTCATTGTTCTTTTAATAACTTATTTATTTAAACAAAAAGTTATTAAGATTATTTGGATTGATAAGATGTTTGAACAATTTTCACATGATTAAAATTCTTAATTGATTGAAAATTGTTCGAATTTATCCCTGACTAATTTGATAAAGTTTATTTTTTTTTATTAACAAATTAGTTGTGACGGTGAATCTTTAGTTTTCATTAAAAGAAAAATTAAAGAAATTGCGACACTCCAATAAGGTATCGTTTGAAGATAACGGCTGTTGCATGGAGATAATGCCCTAGCACCAACTATTTTTAAATGTTGCAGTGCGCAAACTCACAGACGTTTTTTTTTGTGGCTATTTATTTAATTTTTAATAATTATTTATTTAGTTATCAATTTATATTCTGTTTTGAATATTCTGGGCGAATTTAAATATAGAG